CACATAATCACTACACACCACCGATCAAAAGCTATACTTAACAACACACACAATATACTACTAACACTAATATACAAATACTACCACACACACCTACTCCACAATACACATATATGTGTGTCGTGTGTGTGGTGTGTGTGTGGTGTGTGTGTGTGTGTGTGTGTGTGTGTGTGTGTGTGTGCATGGTGCTGTGTGTCGTGTCGTCTACTAGTACAACACATCACTAACTAACAACTACACATAACGTATATAATATATATCACATAACAACCTCAAACACACATCAACACAACAACACCTACACACACATACACATAAAACAGATAACAAGTACACTCACCAAACGTGATACCAAGAACCTAAGAAATTACCTGAGAAAGTGGCTCGCCAGTCATGCTCTCATTATCGAGGAAGACCGAGATTAAATAAGTAATGATAGCCCAGATGCGGAACTGTCATTTCCTTATTGGACAGTATGCTGATGTAGTAAGGTATATATATCAAATCAATCGAAAGTAGGTATTATATAAAAGTTCAACTATAGAGAGTAATCACGTGACATATAAATTATGAAGCAGGATAATACGACCGTACTATATACTAAGTGAGGCTATACATATAAATCAGAAAAGTTTTAGAAACGAGAAGGTCACTCAGTACATTATATGTAAAGTTCTTTAGAGAATATGCTGATACTCAGTATACTAAATACTGTTGTATAATATATATATATATTAACATATGAATAACAACTAATAACTATAATATAATATATTATATATATTAATACATATATTATATCAACTAAGTGTGTGTTGATGTGTGTACGTGTGTGTGGTGTGTGTGTGTGTGTGTGTGTTGTGTGTGGTGTGTGTGCATGCGATGTGTGCTGGTAGATGTGCGTGTGTGTATGTCGCTAGTGCTAGCGATCGTGACACTGTGTAGTGTGGTCAGACTATCGTGGTAGCACACATGCACACTAGAGGCTGATGCGTGTGTGTGTGTATGTGATAGTGTGTGTGTGTTGATGTTGTAGTGTGTGTTGAATATGTGTTGTGATTGGTATATAATATATATATTATAAATTATATTAATATTAATTATTATAATATATATATTATAATATATAAATGTTAATATTAATTCATTATACATTTTATTTCAATATACTACATCACAACACGCGACATATCACCACGCAACATCACACAGCACATGTGTATTACATAAAATATGCGGTAAGATTATTATTTTTATTAGTTCATACATTACGACCCGAAGATCTAATTCTCGACAAAAGGCGTCTTCTCAGCCTTATAGAAGACATCAAACTATTTTGACAGAACATGGCTCTAATTTAATTGTTATTATTTTTCTACATATATCCTCTCCTACATTCTTAACTAGTCACGCAGGAGGTCGAGCTCTAGAATCCTATATATATATATATAATATATAGCCGTCTGAGTTGATTTAGAGAAGTCGTATGCATTGTTTTATATCATCTTGATTGGTGGCTGATTGTGTTCACATATTAATACTTTGAAGATACAAATATATTATATGTATCCACAACCGCACACCACTAATATATGTATAGTGTGTGTGTGTGGATGTGTGTGTTGCTGTGTGTGATCTGACATATATAATGAATAAAGATACAAACATATCACTATATATTATCTCTTGAGTTTGGTCATAAAACTTGGCAATGTCTATATTCTGCTATCAGTTATTGTTAGCGTACTTAAGAATTAGTATTTATATAACTGAATAATAAGTTATGAGAGTTAGCTGAATGGAGACATTATCAGCGCTAATATACCAAGTTATCGAGATTAAAACAGCCTTTATCATTGATAAATTAATCATACTACCTTTCCCTTACTTCCACTTATCATTAACTGACTATTATTTAACTATACTTTATAAGCTATTTTTCTTATCATACTCCTTCTTTCTGTTAGCCTTACTCATCCAGTACATTTACCTACATATTAACTACTTCCCTAATGATAAAGCTAATCAACAAACTATTTCTCTTGCAGCATTGTCTTTCTTTCTTCATAATTCTTCTTTGTCTTTCAATAAAAAAAAAACTTTCAATAGACAAAGATTCTACAATGCGTAGAACGGAAAATCTTTAAAATATCGAAGTCTATCCCCCAAAATACACGGTTTTCTCTTTCTCGCTCTTCTTCCCCGCTCACTCTCTTTAGGTAGATTATCGCATAAGTAGTAGAAGTAACAATAGTAGAACTGTAGTAGAATTGTAGTAGTAGTAGTAGTAGTAGTAGTAGTAGCAGTAGTAGAATTAGTAGTAGTAGTAGCATTAGTAGAACTGGTAGTAGTAGTAGTAGCAGTAGTAAAAAGTAATAGTAGTAGTAGTAGTAGTATATATATATATATATATATATATATATATATATATATATATATATATATATATATATATATATATATAGTAGAAGTAGAAGAAGTAGTAGTAGGAGTAGCAGTAATAGTAGTATTAGCAGAAGTAGTAGTACTGGTGGTGGTAGCAGTAGTAGTAGTAACAGTTGAAGTAGTAGTAGTACTAGTGGTGATGGTAGTAGTAGTGAATTAGTAGTAGTAGTAGAAAAAGAATTAGTAGTAGTAGTAGAAGTAGAAGTAGACGTAGTAGTACTAGTAGTAGTTGGAGTAGAGTCCACCATACAGTTGCGGTAATTACATTCCCTGCCTGGTTCCTTATTTCTTTTCCAACACAAAGAGCAATATTATTCAAACATACGGTTTTACGCTTCCTTTTATTCTATTTATTCTTTTTTCTTTCTTTCTTTTGGATCAGTATAAAAATAAATAGAAAGCGATAATTTTTTCTCACTGCTTTTTCTATTCGAATTTCAATTTATTTTCTTCATGCTTTTTCTTTTCTTTATTTTTGCCAGAGTATATCAGCTCAGTTTTTTTCCCAATCTATCGCTGAAAAAAATCATTTATTTTGCATTTAGAACGGCTGCTGCATTTTACTGCTGTCTCATATTTCATTCCAAAGTTTTAGACTCGCTTGCCATTTCCATCATTATATTTCTTGACCTTTCTTTAACTTTCGTTTCCCAGAATTGCCTTCCATTTCTGTCATTATCATTTCTCGGTCTCTCATTTGGTCGTCTGTATCACAATCTTTTCTAATCATTATATTTTTTTCGATCTCTCACTTTATATATTTTTGTTTCGATCTCTCACTTCTAGATTAAGGTTCTATCACAATTCATCTATCTAGTTTCTACCACAGTCCATCTAAATCATTATATTTCTTCGATTTCTCACACTCAGTTCACATCACAACCAATTAATAAAATATTAATATTCCTCTACATCTAACTCCGTATTATCATCAATCAACATCACCCTATTTCTTCATCTCTTGCCTTACTAAAATCCAAAATTCAACGGATCCAACAAAATTCAACTAAAATAAAACGAGGCTTTTGACAACGAGCAAAGGAAGGGAAAGTTTCTATGAAGTGCCTGCTCCTTGATATATAAAAGTCATCGATTTAGTAAGGTATTGTAAAACACTTGTTAAACTTGTTGGCGTTTTGATGTGGCTCTTTTTTGTTTGTAGAAATAATTGCTTTTAGGTTATAATAGTAAATAGTATTGTTGTTGTTGTTTGTTTATTTCCATATCAGTTTAGTTTTATTTATTACCACTATCATTGTTGGTACTGTTATTATTATCGTAATTATTTACATTAATATTATTATTATCATTATTGTTACTATTATTATTATTATTATCATTGTTATATTCTTATCATCATTATTATTGTTACTACTATTATTGCTACTACGGTTACTATTACTACTATCACTACTACCATTTTTACTGCTACTATTGTTTCGACTACTATTATTATCATTTCTACTACTACTACTTTTACTGCTTCCTCTACTACTACTACTACTAATACTACTTATATCACTACTACTAATTTGACTGTTACACCACTATTACTGCTGCTGCTGATATTACTATTACTAGTACAAATTGTAGTAAAATGATTGCATGGACGACTGCAAACGAACGCATACACAACCATGTGTGTGTTTATATATATATAATATATATATATATATATATATATATATATATATATATATATATATATATATATATATATATATATATATATATATATATATATATATATTATATATATATATATATATATATATATATATACTATATAATATATATATATATATATATATATATATATATATATATATATATACATACATACATATATATATATAATATATATATATATATATATTATATATATATATATATATATATATATATATATATATATATATATATATACATATATATATATATTTATTTATTTATCTAATTACACACACACACACACACACACACACACACACACACACACACACACACACACACACATATATATATATACATACATATATATATATATATATATATATATATATATATATATATATATATATATATATATATATATATATATATATATATATGTATGTATGTATGTATGTATGTATATTGATACTGAATGCATTATGAACCTATGATTATTAAAATAATTAGAAATCATTAAAAACCATCGAAAGAATATAAATTTTACATATGAACATCCTCATGCTCTCGGTAATGTTAGTGATAAATGCAAAGAGGATCATCTTAATCAAGCCATCATCAAATATTACTAAATATCCACTCCATCGCAAATAATAATAAATGTAGATAGACAGATGGATAGATGGATAGAGAGCAAGAGAGTTAGATAAACAGATAGATTGATAGATAGACAGATACATGGATATGTAGATAGATCAACAGATAGACACATAAACAGATAAATGGATATGTAGGTAGATAAACAGACGAACCGATAAGTAAACAGATAAAATAGAACAAGAAATATATAAGTAAATCTTCCACATCCACCAACGCGCACTTAC